CAACATTGGTAATAATAAAAAATGATGCCATAACTTCAGTGTCACATGATCCTTCAGAAATCATTCCAATATGCTGATTTTTTTGCTCAAAAAATATTATTATCAAAGTTGAAGAAAAAATACGTACTGTTTAATATTTGTGTGGAAACTGTGATGCATTTTTTTCAGTATTGAAAAATGATACAGTATTCTTTGATGAATAGGAAGTTCAAAAGAACAATTTTTAATTCAAATAGCGTATTTCAACCCTTTACTTTTTAATTTCTTTAAAAAAAGTTACTAACCAGAAACATTAAGCGGTAGTGTGTATATTTATATATAATTCATCATAAAACACACTTCTGTCAAGGGTGTTTAAACATTTGATTTATAATGTATATTGGTCATATAAAGTCTTGGGATCTAATCTCTTTAAGAACTTACATTTTACATTGACAAACACTCATGACCTACTCCGATGCAATCACATTCACAGGCTTAGTGCTGTGTGTGCATGTGTGGGGGTTTATACACGTTAATTGACTTACAACTCCTGGATTCTTACTGGGATTTAACCATACATAGAGTAAGGCACCACATCCACCATCCGCTTGAAAAGTCACACAGAAGTAGCGATTGAAGTTGGGAATGTTGAAATATTCACACAGCATTTTTTCAGAAGTTCGCTTTTGGTTAGATGTTTTTGTTTCTTCTTTGTGATCAGTGCTGATTATGCTATCTGTTTACTATTATCATGATTGCCTTTGTGAGAAGCATGTCATAAGTATCTCAAACCTAATTTATTGTGTTCATGCTTAAATATTAGCAGACATAATTATTCCACTTGCTCTTTATAAGGTCTCTTTGCTCAAAAAATATTATTATCAAAGTTGAAGAAAAAATACGTACTGTTTAATATTTGTGTGGAAACTGTGATGCATTTTTTTCAGTATTGAAAAATTATACAGTATTCTTTGATGAATAGGAAGTTCAAAAGAACAATATTTAATTAAAATAGCATATTTCAACCCTTTACTTTTTAATTTCTTTAAAAAAAGTTACTAACCAGAAACATTAAGCGGTAGTGTGTATATTTATATATAATTCATCATAAAACACACTTCTGTCAAGGGTGTTTAAACATTTGATTTATAATGTATATTGGTCATATAAAGTCTTGGGATCTAATCTCTTTATGAACTTACATTTTACATTGACAAACACTCATGACCTACTCCGATGCAATCACATTCACAGGCTTAGTGCTGTGTGTGCATGTGTGGGGGTTTATACACGTTCATTGACTTACAACTCCTGGATTCTTACTGGGATTTAACCATACATAGAGTAAGGCACCACATCCACCATCCGCTTGAAAAGTCACACAGAAGTAGCGATTGAAGTTGGGAATGTTGAAATATTCACACAGCATTTTTTCAGAAGTTCGCTTTTGGTTAGATGTTTTTGTTTCTTCTTTGTGATCAGTGCTGATTATGCTATCTGTTTACTATTATCATGATTGCCTTTGTGAGAAGCATGTCATAAGTATCTCAAACCTAATTTATTGTGTTCATGCTTAAATAAATTTTTTTTTAACAAAATGATTATATTTTGGGTAAATATAGATAGGCACTGTTAGCGCATCATCAGATGATGATGAATTTGATTTGCTTTCACATGATGCTGGTTACTTAAAATTACTTGTTGTCGCAAACCTCTGATTACATAATGTTTGTTTTTTTGCTGGAGATCTCCATTAGGTCTAGGCAGGGCAGCAGTTAGAAAATCAAGTCAGAAAGTTTGAACGGGGACATCTGGTCTTGAATCCAGTGACAATAAGAACAAATTTACAGAATAATTTACGGAAACTTAGTTCCTGAATGTTTATTTGTATTGTTAGAATATACTTCAGTTACTTAATACAAGTGTATTTACACTTATTTTTGGTGTTTTGTTTTCTTTAGCTAATAACTGCATGAAGATCTGCATCCAGAACATGCATAAGATCAGCGAGAACATCCCTGTTCATGTTCTAGCTGAGGTGGCCGTGAGTGTTTTCAGCTTTGTGAAGGACTCTTATCCAGTCAGCCCTGCTCTTTTTGAAGAGTTTGAGAACAACGATGGCTATAGCATCTTTCAGGCCATCTTATTACGGTAAATTCATGAATTTTTTTGGGGGAAATCTTTAATATAATATGGGACTGTCACTAAATATTGCATATATGAAAGGCACACAACTGAAGACTATATGTTTTTGATGCTTTAACAAGTAGGTGGATCACCACCTTCAGAAAATACATTTGCTTACTTCGTTCTTAGGTACTTTCCATTCCTTTTTGTAACTCTCTTTCTTCCTCTCAGTCTCAGCTCCTTCCTCCTGCAAGTTTCTTTTTGAATGCTGCAGAATTCAATAATTAAAGAGCTCGTAATGAGATCAGCAGTAAATTGAGCTCAATCACATTACTGATCATGCCAGCCCCCTCTAACTCACTGTGTGTCTGCGTTTCCTCACAGCAAGGGTCACTGCAGGACAAAACTGCCCTCACTGAACAATGGGTCTCATTCACTAAGCATGCGTACTCACTTATTTGTTCGTAAAACCTGTGTGAAAACATTATTTTGTTCGTGCTTATATCCAACAGAAATGTTCACGTTAAAAACTCTTCTGTGCAAATACTTAGTGAATGAGGCCACTGTTATCTAGTTGTCTGTTAGTTACATTACCATTCAAAAAGTTGAGGGTTGTAAGATGTTTTTGAAAGAAATCTCTTATGCTCACCAAGGCTACATTTATTTTATGAAAAATACAGTAAAACTGTAATATTGTGAAATATTATTACCACTTAAAATAAATGTTCTGTTTAAATATATTATAAAAAATATACAGGTGCATCTCAATAAATTAGAATGTCGTGGAAAAGTTCATTTATTTCAGTAATTCTGATGTGGTGAATTTCTAATTATTATCAATCTTGAAAACAATTGTTCTGCTTAATAACTTTGTGGAAACCATGATGCATTATAGAGAGCATCAGGATATATAGAGAGTTCAGAAGAACAATATTTATTTTAAATATAATTTTGTAACATTGTAAATTTATTGTCAAATCTACTGTCACTTTTAAACAATTGAATATGTACAAAAGTATTCATCAGAAAAATTGTACAGCCCCTAAACATTTGAACAGTAGTGGAACAGTAGTGTTCATTCATACTGTGTTTATTGTGAAAGACATATTGACATATTTTTGCCCCTTTTGTAGCGAGAGCATCAGGATATATAGAGAGTTCAGAAGAACAATATTTATTTTAAATATAATTTTGTAACATTGTAAATTTATTGTCAAATCTACTGTCACTTTTAAACAATTGAATATGTACAAAAGTATTCATCAGAAAAATTGTACAGCCCCTAAACATTTGAACAGTAGTGTTCATTCATACTGTGTTTACTGTGAAAGACATATTGACATTTTTGCCCCTTTTGTAGCTGTGAGGAGCAAGTGACAGAGGAGCACTTCCTAGCCGTTCAAGACCTTCTAGGCCTCATTGCGTCATTCACGCTTTTTGGCAAGGCTGAGCTGAAGGTTGCCATATGTGTGAACAACCCCCAACCGCCAGGCTTCACGTTTGACCCCACCCTGACGAACGGTAAGCTACCATGACAGACAGTGAGAGCCACTCTGCATCTCTGCTCCGCCACCTCAGGGTAATGCCACAGAAAAGGCAATTATGTCCAGGATGATGAAGTGTAGCTCTCCTCACTAACCTGGTTAAACCACCCTGCATCCATTCTCCTCATCCATACAGCAATTCTCCATTCATCACCACCAGAGCACCTCACTCCTGAGAGAGAGAAAAAGGGCCTTTTTTTAACCTCTATTTCATTTGGCTTTGATGTGATTTTAATTATGGGTGAAATTCAATCAAGCCAATCAGTCTTTTTCATATGTTGATGCATTTGAATGTTGATATAGTTCTTATTTGCATGAGCTCTTAGTTGTATATAATGTCATCAATAATGCTTCTGTCTCACAGTATACTTCTAGGAATGGCGTTACAAATGGTCACTGAATATAAGCTCAACTAGTTGCTTCATTTCTTCCTCTCATTCTATGTCCCTGAATGTCTTTATATCTTCAGGTTCACCAGTGAGGAACCTCACAGCCTTCAAGATCATTCAGTCCTCCTTCTTGCGCTCAGGCAACACAGTGATCTGCGGCCAAATCCTGCGTACCATCCAGATGATCTGGTCTTGGGAAAAGGCTAACTTCTTCCTGCTGGAGTGGTCTCTGCAGTCTCTGGCTCAGCTGGCTGAGTGTGTGTGGCAGAAATCGGCACCTGTTCACCTCATTTTCTTCGAACTGCTTGAGACCGTTATCTACCAGCTCTCCTACATCCCACACGAGACAATCAGGAAGGTCCAAGCTGTGTTGAAGCAGGGTTGTTCGGAGGCCTTCAATGTCGCAGCTCTGGACTGCTTCTACGGGCTCATCATTCACAGCGGATTGCTGTCTGAAGTCCTGAGTGATGGAGGACTGATGGAACAACTGTTGTTTGAGCTTAAAAGAAGGGCAAAGATAATCAGAAAGGCTGGTGTTGCTGGTGAGTCTTTTGGTTTTCTCTGTACTGTGAATTACAAAAACAAGACAGTTTGAATTGCAGATGTCTGATCCTGATCTGAGATCTTATTTATTGACAGTAAATGAAGTTGAGGAAAAGGCTGACAACTATGAGAGGAAGTTGACCACCAGCATTTTGAATGTGGTTGCCGCTCTGGCCTTGCAGTCAGTCAGAAACACTGGTTAGTTTAAGTAATTTTCTTTATAACAAGTATTGAACACTGTTAAAACTAGAATCAAATTTCATGTTTAATTTAACGTATTACTTGCTGTTTCTTTGTGAAATTTACTGTGAAAATTGTTTCTATACCAATTTTTTTAAATGTATGCAGGAGATCATTAAAATAAAATAGAGGTTAAAAACATGTACAATTGTTAAAAATTGATAATAAATCAATAAAAAATCTGACAAATTTGAGGTAAGGAGTTTGAAACCATAGTACATCCAAAGTCATTATATCTAATCAGTCTCTTTGCTTAATAGTATTCATCAGGGACTTAGGAATGATTCCCTATGTGAAGATCTTTCTGGATGTTGAGCAGTTCCGCAGTCCAGCTCTGTGCATCCTGGAGCAGCTGTCGGAGGTCAATCCAGAGGAATACATGAGCACTGCCATCGGAGCCCTCTGCTCCTCCACTGAGAGTGAGATCAGACTCAAACAGGATCTCTTACAGGTATTTACTCCATTGCTGCTTTTTATTTTTGGCTAACCCACATTCTTAGTCCCATATGCCCGCTGAAAAGGTGATTTTCCATATTTATGTGTGACTTTCTGTTTTTTACTGATTTCTTACGCATGTAAACATGTTGAAATACAAGTCACAGTTTATTCCAAAGCATGATTGGATTATAACTGAGAGGACTCCTACTAAAACTAAACTGAGCTCAGGTATCATATACAGTGGGTATACCATGCCATTCATAAAGGACACGAGGCTAGAAACTACCGTACTCACCCTACCAAACAGGACTACCATAAATACTATAGTGGTTGTAACCATCACAATAATATTTCAAATGTTACTGTTTTTACTGTTTGTTTGTTTTTTTAAATTAAATAAATGTAGCCTTGGTGAGCATAAGAGACTTAAAAAAAAGCATTTATCAACCTCATTAGTGTACTTGTAATAATCCCTTGTGCTTTGTCTTTTCACAGTCTATCATGAAAGTTCTGGAAAACCCAAACAGTTGGAACGCCTTCCGCACTTCTGGAGGCTTTACTGGCCTGCTCTCCATAGTCGTGGATATGGAAGGATCTCTGCTGGAAGCCCCAACAGGACCTTGGGCCACACTGAGCCGCCAGAGCCTTGTTGAGCTGCTGCTTCTCACCCTACACACCCTTGCCCTTGTTGTGCACGTGCACCCCGTCAATGGCCACTTTTTCCACACGACCGGAGTCTGCGAGAAGCTGGGTGATGCTCTGATGCAGCTGGGCTGTTTCCAGAGAGGGGTCCCTGTGGAAACAGACAAAGAAAGCTCAGACTGCAGGACTTTTCAAGAGTTTGTGGAGGCAGTGGAGAGGCCAGAACCTCAGTTGCCACCACCTTTAGGAGACTGTGTTAAGCTGCTGGGATTCCTGGAGCAGTTTGCTACCAGTGTGAGCTTGGTTGCAGATCCATGCGCAAGATTGCATGATAATAATGATGCTGGTGAAATTCAGAGGACAGGAGAGCCATCTAATGACGATGAGGCATTGAACCACACTAGGGCTGCAAGTGTCTCATATGTATCAACAGATTCTGGGAGGTAGTTACTCTCAATGAAATGTATATATTTATAGATATAAGATTGCTTTTATTATATTATATTATATTATATTTAATTTTTTATTTTTTGTCTGGACAATCACATATAAATCACTCCATAAAAGATGTACAGCATGATAGTTATTTTATATAGATTTGCTGTTGTCTATTATTTTCTGTCTGTCTATCATTGTTAAACATTGCTTATTCATTACTTATTCAGGGCTTACTGCGACCTCACCATTCTTCATCCTGGAGCTGTTAAGCTGATCATGACTCTTCTGCCTAGTATTTACTGTCCCAGTGACCCTTGTGTATGTACAACCACAATCATGTTCATATCTTCTACATAATTTGTATTAGGTGTAATGAATAAGAGGCAATAATGGCCTTAGAATAAATGACCCCAAACTTTTGAAAAGTAGTGTATGCAAAGCTAAATATGTGTTTGTTTTTGAGCATATAGTACAATATTTGCAGACATTCTCTTCTTTAGTTGTCTGAAGAGCTGCAGTTGGCTGTGGCTCATCATGTGCAGACTCTGGTGAAGTCAGAAAGAAACAGGCAGATCATGTGTGAGTTTGGTCTGGCGTCCACACTGCTGACTCACTGCAAACATATCCTCATTGACAATTCCCATTCACTACACCTGCCCATAGTACGGATCCTTGAGAAACTCGCATCTCAATCCATGGATCACAAGTGCCTCAGGTCAGCGTAAGCAGATGCAGTTGACATGCTCATGCATTCCTCATGACAAATGTTAAATATATGATATGAAATGATAGATGAAGTTTACATGTTTTGTATGCTATTACAATAGTGTGCTTTATCTTAGGCAGTTCCTGTGTCTTGGGGATCCTCTGATGTGTAGTGGAGAAAATCGGCTTTCTGTCTCCTGTGAAGTGGCCAACATCACAAGTACAGTTCTTCCTATTCCTCACAGACTTCCTTTTTGGATTACTTCCTGTTTCATGAAAACATTTGATCGTATTTTTACATCTATTGATTGAAGAGGCTGTTTAGATTTTCATAATTATCTTTTATCTATTGCAGACCAGACAAAAGACTCTGTAGAGGATAACAGAAAATCCTTAAAAAAGGCAATGAAAAGAAGCTTCAGTCTACTCAAAACATCTTCAGACAGTGGGACTGTAGTTCCTCTTCATAGAATCATAAGTCTTGTCTCCATCACAACGCCACGGAGCTTTCAGCCACACAAAGTCTCCATTTCCCCTTCCTTTGTGGAGTTTGACATGACAGACAGTGGCTATGGGTAAGTGTTTGCAGATATCCTCACAAATTAATCGGTTTATAGACAACAATACAGATTTGTGTCCTTTAAGGCTGTGGTTGTCAACCAGGGGCCAGGGCCCAGTGGGACCTGCAAATTTGACATCACAGTGACCACAAAGGATGACTTCAGATTATTTACATAAAAACAATTGATATTAATTTTATTTTTATTATATTTAATATTCCAATACATTGAATTATACATATACGTTACGTCAAGAAGTTAACTGAAATCATATTTTTAATTCCCCCCCACAATAACTATTGGTTTTATTTAACATACTCTTCTTGAAACTTCTGGGATCACAAAATGATTGTGGTTAATTTATACTGTATACATATGAATTTATACTGTACAACCACAGCCTTAAGGACAGTCCAAGTTTCTGTTAATAGGACTTTTCTTTGAATATTATGTTGGACAATGGGGTGCTTTGAATCAAAAAGTTGAGAACCACTGTTTTAGGGACTTTTTATAAAAATAAAATGATTTAACATAGTGATGAATTAAACAGAAAAAAGGAACAAGTTTTGGACCAGAGGTTAAATTTACCACATCATTGCCAAACGTAAAATGTCACCGGAAGTAATGTTATGGATATATTAATTAAGCTTTGTAATTAAGCCTTGATTATTCTGTTAAATGGCAGATAACCATTTTGTCTCCACAGATGCCTGTTTCTGCCATCCCTTGCCACAGTAAAAGGTGTCAGTGCAGACTTTATCTCCACAGGAGGCTTGGGCACTGGTAAGAAAATCTATAGAATTACATTGCTGCATAAAAATAACCGTTCAGGGTTGGCATCATCTGAGGTCTTCTGATGGGTTGGCATCATCTCTTCTCAGGTGTTCTGGATCCAGACTGAAGCTTGTGTAAAACCGTGGCAAAAACAGAGAAACAAATAGAGACATAATTAGCGTAGCTGCTGTTCCAACCAAGCAAAATGTATTTGTTTAACCCAAACTAAAGAATAATAATGTGCGTTTGATCAGATATAACTTTATATATAACTTTTATATTTAAAAGTTTGGTGTCTGTAAGATTTTTTGAAAGAAGTCAAAACTTCTTTTTGAAGTTCAGAATTATTTAATTAACAGACAGTTCAAATTAACAGCATTTATTTGAAATAAATCTTTTGTAACATTATAAATGTCTTCATTGTCAATTTCATGTGTCCTTGCTAAATACAATTATTAAATTCTTTTTTTTTTCTTATTTTACTGCCATCCTAAAAACTCATAGGAAATCCAGAGGGAACCCATGACTCAAATGCTAATTTTGTTGCTAGTTTTCTATTGTTTCGTAAGACATAAAATTGCAAAAGTATTGTCATTTCTTCAAGTTTCTTTTTTTTTCCCTGTAGGTGTGGCAGAGTGCTCCAGAAAATCTTGACATTTGTGTTTTAAATCATTTTGTTGATATCCTGAAGTCATCGAGGTACGTTGTAGGCTACTGATGTCAGGTTGTTGCGAATTTGTTTAGTTTGCAGCATAAAGAGATGTGAAACACATGGCTCATTTCCTGTTTTTCAACCATGCAACCATGCCAGTGCTGTTTGCTGTGGATACATGTTTATGATTGTGAGTTTATTTCCAGTGGGAGTCAACAGAATGCTGAAGTCATGCACAGACTCAACATGATGAGCAAACTCCTGATCCTGCTGCATGATAACAGTGTGACCCGCAGGAAGGTGTCCATCATCTGCACCATCATCCGATCCCTCCTCGAGGAACATTTCAACACCACAGACATCAAGAGGCATGTCTGTTAACTTTTATAGGTTAACTTGAATCATTTGTTGCATTGTTGATTATCAGACAATTTTGGGAAAATCACCAACGCTTTAAGACACAGAATTAATAAAAATGTCAACCAGTGTGATTTCTTGACATTCCTGTTTGTTCAAACAGGATTGGACTCTTCTTAGTTCATAGTCTTTTGCCTCCGACTTTGAATGAGAAATGCACTTTCTCTGATTTGGATTTTGATGATCAGTCACAAGGTACAGATTTTTGCAATAAATGTTCATGATTTTAGATTTGTGCTCTGCTCCAAAATCTTGAATTTTGAAGGAAGCTCACTGCTTACATGCTCTCTAAACTCTTTGTGGCTCTAGGCTGGAGTCAGACTCCTGGGAGATCAGTTTGGATCAGGAACCAGTTGCTCTCTATGCTGTCTACTCTAATCATCTCAAACAATTCAAGCATGTGAGTCAAGAATAGCAATGTAAAAACACAAAGTCTTGCACTCTTTGTCCTTGTTTCTATGAACCCACTGACAAATAATTTAATGTAGTGTTCTAAATATGATGATGTTTCTTAAATGACAGTAACCAGGAGGAGATATTCTTCGCACTGGGATCCGATTGGTTCCTCCTATTCTTACAGGGCCACATCCACACCAGCACAGTGCTGCTGGTGCTCACACTGCTTACACATTTCCTATCATATCCAAGCATCCTGGCCAAATTCAGAGAGGGTGTGTCACCAGGAACATTAGTGGAGACCATGGAGATGCCCACCAATATCACAGGTAATTCCAGATGAAATTTCAAAAGTACCCTCATTGTGATCGCATGTGATTGCTATGTACAGCACATTTATTTTTTATTTATTTTAGATAATCTGAAGTCTCGCTCATGGTCGTTTGAATGTTTGAGCTGTATCTGCCCGGGGTTTGAAGTCCTGCAGAAGCTTCTTGTCAGCCACATCCACCTGCCTCAAGTTTATGGAGCTATCTCTGCACTGCTTATAGGAAAACCTGATTTCCAGGTTCTTGCTGGGCAGGTAGAGGTCACATTGCCTAATTGTCTGATATGTCAAAATGTATTGATTTGTAATGTTCAAATGACCAGTTCTCCTCTCTGTTTGTATGTCTTTCATGGTTGTGATGAATTTTGAGAAATGTTATACTATGCGTTGTCTTTCGGATGGCAGGTGGATGTTGACATGATGCTTCAGAGTTTGATTGACAGCTGCAGTGATAGATCTGAGGGCGTTCAACTATGTGCAGATGCCGCTTGTGTTCTTTTAGAGTTGATTAAGGTTATCATTACTAAGGTAAGTTGCTAAATTTATTGGCATAACTTGACATACTTTTATTTATATTTAAAACATTCAGATTTTATAGCAGCTGGAATTGGGTAGCAGTTAAATCATCTTGCTAAAAAAAAAAAGGCAATACTGGAATAGACAGACAGTTGCATGTCTGCTGGATGTAATCTTGTACATATTCTTTGAGAGGCAGTTAACATGATTACAGTCACTTATTGCAAACCGGTTGCATAATCCAGTTACTTAAAGGCATTATCTGTCTCACCATAGTCATTGATGCAAGACCAGTAAAACCAGCTTTACTCAGGTTGTGTATTTGTATTACTCTAAAAAGCCTGTAACAGGAAGTGCAGATGGCTGGGAAGTGCATTACCCGGGTAGTGTGATGCAGTTTCTCTGCCTGGTGAACAGTTTGTTTCCTCAAGATCCTCTCTGGACCTCCCCTGATTTCCTAAGTTCACTGGCCAGTGCTGTTTTCCCCTTTGAAACCCCAGAGGTGAGACTTTTGGGGACTGTACCTTTTTTCTGTGCAATTTAAAAATATACCCAAGAGACATTTTAATGTCCCATAGGCAAGCAGTTTACAGAAGTGGTATTCTGCTTCTCATACAGAGCTCTACAGGTGTCCAGGGTATCAAAGAAAGTGGCGAAGTGGTGGGGGAGCCCCTCTTGCTCCGTCCCTCCCACCCAGGCAGGAAGCAGGTGTGTGACTTCATCCGCATCCTCTTGATGGACAGCCTCATTAACATTCCTGTCAAAGATGGTTTTCATCCTTTAATACAACTAGTAGAGGTAAGGGATGCAAAATATTGATATTTAAGAAATCAAACTGCTTTTTCACAATATTATGCATCTTTAATTCATTAAGTATACATTCTATAAACATTATTGCTGTTGTTGTTATTAATAATAATTACTATCATTATTATAACTAAATAATAATACCATAACATAAATAAATACATTACAATAATAATTTACTTAATATATTTATAAATTATGTATTTATTTTTTATTTTAATACTACTAATGATAATAATTTATATTAAATATATATTGTATTAGAATAAATGAACACTATACATACTGTTTGTTTTTAAAGTGCGGTTTAATAATAAAAGGTACTGCTATTGCAACGCAGTCGTATCTGAACTGTTAAACCAGCATCTGATACTGTGTATAATATTTTTCCTCCATAAGGTGCCACTCTTTGCTCAGTTTTGACGATGAGACTGTGCACATTACTGCTCACTGGGGGACCGTATCTAGCGGATTATACAGTCAAGCTGGTAGCGCTCTTGTGGACTGTAGTGAAGACCTTTCCCCCCATCATTATTTTAACATTCTGAATGATTTGTGTTTAGTTTTCCCCAGATGGTGTCTGTCAAGAGCATAGACAGAGTTTTCAGACTGAACTCCTGGAGTTTGTGATGGACATCATCCACATGACAGGACAGGAAGAGGGCCAGTCTACTCACGTGACCAGAGATGGTAAAATATATCAGACAACATATAAAACTTCTTAAAATTAATTTGTTGAATGTCAGAAATTGATTTGATCTTTTTGGCTGAAATGGTATTTTAAAAATAAGCAGGGTTTTAATTTTTTTATACCATTCAAATGTCCCACTATATTCTCCCAAGATCCATCCAGGTCCAAGCAGGAAGGAAAAGCTGCTGTTTTGGTTGAGAATGTGGCATTCTTCAGTAAAATGCTAGTGGAAAAACTCTACTCTGGAATGTATGTGGTAGAGCCAGAGAACCTCCTGGTCTTTATGGCTGAACAGATAGCAGTGGTGAGTTTATCTTCTGATTTATCCAATGTTCTGTATTACTGTTACAAACCTGTATTTACACTGCATGTTTGTATTGACATCAGGCACTGGAAAAAGGTCATGGTCATCGGGAAATAACGGTCAGCATTCTGTACAAAAACTTGAACCGAGCCCTACTTTACTTCCTGTCTCGACCCAGACAGACTCCAGCTGAGCAGGAACTCGTTGTTCAAACACTTCGCATGTTACAGCAGCACTGGGATGTGATCATGGCAACATACAATGCCAATGTCCACTTCATCATCTGTCTCATGCACTGCCTCGTCCTTGTCCGCTCAGGCAGGTGGGTTTCATTATTAGTGATAGTGGGACCTTTCACTAACAGGTTACACTTTGTTGTCTTATTTCTAAGTATTAAAAAGCACAAGTCCAACATATCACTGGTTATTGGTTTGCAACCCTAAAATTATTAGTTTTAGACAGATAGCTAGCTAAATAAATAAATAACGGGTGTTAAACGTTAATTCAACTATATGTTTTCCAATATTTTAATAACAGGATTGCAAAATCTCATATAAAGATGTTTAATATAAAGATGTCTTGTTTAATAAAATTCTTTATAATATAATTGGTCTACTTGAACATTTTCCTAAATTCAGGCACCTCCTTTTAATATTCATTTGCTGAATAAGAAAAAAATATATTAAAAAATTGCTGTCTTCTAGCTTTCTTGAAGGGTTTGGCTGTGAAGTCCATAAAAAACCCACAAGAAACATCTGGAGACACATCTTCCTACACAAGAACAACCGGGTGATGTCGCAGACTATTGTCACAGATTCAGCAGAAGGTCTGATTTTATTCTTTTGTATATATTTACTTATTTGTTTAGTTTAGTTTTGTTTTGTCTGCCAGGCACTCAAGTAAAATTAAAAGCTTTGAATATGGTTGTGATCCTAGTAGTGGAGTCGGAGCTGATGCTGCTTGTGGAAAGCACCTGGAATAGAGTCATGAGGGAGCGGAGGCAGGCGCTAGAGGAGGCATATAAAATCGACCTGTCTGCTAAGTCGGGCAGCAAGGAGGGCCAGGTTTCTATGGGTGATGTGAGCCCTCTGTGGGAGGAGACGGCCATGAAAGCTTGGCAGCTCTTTATAGGTCAGTCTCTGCTTGTGTGTCAGCATTTAAGATTATTGTCAGCCATCTTATTTTGTTCCTCTTGCTTTAGTTTCGGTTGTATTTGACTGATATAAGTGGAGATTGGAGTTGGATATTAATAATATACTGTATGTTATTTTCATATTTTAACATATTTCTTTCAGACTCTCAGAAGAAAAAAGCGAATAATGGTCACCAGAAGAGGGCAGGATTTCTCAGCAGTGCGTTGCAATCTGTTCAGAAGAGGTTTGGGAAGGATTCAGTCTGCACTCCTGAGGTAGGACAGTCATGTTTGTATTTAACACACGTTTTCTGTTATATTCCAGTGCCTTGATGCGATGCATGTCCAGAACCACTTTACTGAATGATACCCTATGAATGATATTATGGACAGACAGGAAGTGATTGGTTTAGTCAGTGAGAATTCCTTCACAGGTGCCCTCACACCATACCAATGTCACCGCAACCGGAAGCCGCCACCTACCCCGTGGCACTGTCTCAATCCTGTCTCTAAATCAATTTGGATTATTACAGCTGAGTACACCTCAGCGGGCAATGTAATTGATATTTGTTCATTTTTTCCATGGGAACACTCACTAGAACATTGCGTTTGCTGGTGAAGGTTAAAGACGCTGTTATTGTTGTTTTTTCCTCCCGAAATGCGGCCCACATCATTAGTTCCCACCGCTGAAGACGTCGCCATCTGGAAAAGGATGCACAGAGATATTACTCAGGCACAAGGGCATGAAATTGCTGTTTCTTTGCAACTGCTGCTATCTCTGTCTCCGCCTCAGAAACAGGGGGCGGTAATTATAGGCAGTCCCGAACCGATGAAAACATTAATTTTGTGTTACTCTGTATCATATCAGCTTGTGACAGCCTATCAGCTGTCTTGATGAATTGTCCTCCTCAGAAACGTGCTGCTTGAAATTTGCTGAGAGTTTTGTGGATTTTGAATTTCTCCTGGAAACTAGTCATCATAAACACATCATGTGGTACACACAATCGTCAGATCATACTTTAGTTATTTTAAGTTTTGATAGAAAGTTAACTTTAGCTTTTTGAGAAGTCATATTTAAATGGCCCTTGCAATATACACTTTCTTCTAATTTCACTTGATAGTAATGTGAAAAATAATTAGGAATATTAGTTTTACCTATCTCATTTCTCCCTGCATAGGGGAAAATCTAAGTAAAAAGAAAACTTAAGTAAAAATTGGCCTTAAAAATGATTAAAAAAAAAAAAATTCACAGCTTAATTTTCTTTTTAATTTATGATGTTAACCATAGTTATTTGTATTAGTTATTTGTTACTATTACATCATTTCTGTCTGATGGCTGCTAAATCAATTTCAGCATTTTAAAACGTTTATTTAGCACAAACAGTCTAATCCAGTTTCCTTTACACCAGAGAACTTACCCTTTCAGCACAGCAGATATATGCTATGGACTAATTATATCTTCATAATGGAAAGATAATTAACATAGCTAATGATCAAGTTAAGTTTATTACACATTCACCAACAGCCTAAAATGAAGCTGACATTATGTTATGTTATCATCAAAGGTAGTCTTTTTCTGTGGAAAGTAATTAAAATGGAAATCAGTGTGATGTTAATTGCAGAGGGGATGCTGTTTAATGTGGCCAATAAGTTTGCTGTTTGGGTAAATGGAGTAATTAATGCTATATATTACTTATGATTCTCTAAATAAAAGAATACGATTAGTCGATGATTTAGTGTTTATCTGTCAGGGCCGTAATTACTCCTGTGAACTCCTATGTAACGCTTCTTAATCCCGCCATCCATTTAGCACACACACATGCACAATTTTCTTTTTTTTCTCTAGTTTTATAACTTGTCACTGTTTTTCTTTCTAAGTATCCAAACTGCATTTTTCCTTATTTTTTTTGTTGGATTTTCTAATTTTGCTATGGCATGCAAAGCAGCGATGGGTATGTAGGTGAAACAAATAGACTTGAGTTAGTAAGAAAAACTACAAAATAAACCTTTTTTTATTGCAAAACTAATGTTATAATAAAGTTTATAGATGTTTTGAAATGCTGTTCTAGTTTTATAACTTGTCACTGTTTTTCTTTCTAAGTATCCAAATTGCATTTTTCCTTATTTTTTTTGTTGGATTTTCTAATTTTGCTATGGCATGCAAAGCAGCGATGGGTATGTAGGTGAAACAAATAGACTTGAGTTAGTAAGAAAAACTACAAAATAAACCTTTTTTTATTGCAAAACTAATGTTATAATAAAGTTTATAGATGTTTTGAAATGCTGTTTTCCTGTTTACCTGCAGATGTCCTTTTCACACAGTGCCTATAAAAGTATGTGCCCCTTAGGAAATTTTCATGTTTTATTATTTTACAACAGATGATTTAATTTGCTGCATTTGACACTAATAACAGGAAAAATGATTTCATGTCAAAATGAAGTTTCTACAAATTGGTCAAAATGTATTGTTCATAACTATTCATGACTATTCAACTCAAGTCAGCATTTAGTAAATGCACCAAAAAAGCCAAATTAAGTCCACTGTGATATAAGCAGTAAAACAACAAAACATAAAATGGTCAAAGATGATTTGGATCGAAAACATTTTCATGCAGTTACGCTTTTAACCAATTTTAGATTAATCTTGTGCTTTCATAATTCGTTCTTTTCTCAGTTTGAGCTATACCAGTACTGGATTCAGTACTCGTACGGTTCACGTCCAGTCTCTGAACTGCAGTCTGTGTGGCTGTTGGGCCGGCTCCGAGAGGACACCACTGTGATGATTGGTTTAATGAGCCTTTAAGTAAATCTGGAGATGAGCAGGTCGGTGGTGAAGTACACAGGCTTCCTGAAGGGCTAATGCCTATCAGTACAATAAATCAGCAGGGCACAGAGCATGGCGCAGGGCCAGCAGCCACCTCACACTGCGCTTATATTATACTTTAAGTTAATTAGAGCACACTGAGGACTATTGGAGACAGCTTTATTGTATGGTTAAATAGCCACTAGCTTGTTTTTCCCACATGAATGCAATTTACGAAATGTTATTGTAACTGTGTGCAAACCTAATAGCTACAGAGGAACGTTTACATGCATATAACTGCCTGCTTGTTCACCTTTGTAATGTACCTTCATGTGTGTGCATGTTGTGTGTGTTTGTTTCCATTAGGGGTTCATCTTAGACATGGAAGCGCACTGGCAAACTTGTGAGACCATATTTGACAGCATGTTGAGGAGTCATACACAGGTTTTTATTTTATTTATTTATTTATTTAGTTTTCCCATTAACACCTATAATGCTGTGCCCCAGGAATCCAGCAAAAAAAAATATTAATTTTTTTTGTAATGTTTTGCTTTTGTGTTTTGTGTAGATGATGCATAGTGAGAATGATCGTATGGCTATTCAGTGGCTAAGAATAGAGGAAGACTTGCTTAGAGAGCGGGGTCTCTTTGGCCCTGGTCCAGGAGTCTTCCTCAAAGGAGGCTGGGTGCAGAACACCGCAGAGGGGCGCAACCGCACACGATCCCGAATTCGCAGAAAGCAGCTACGTCGATCCAAAAAGGTGAACTATTACCACTGTACATAAGAATAATAATTTCTGGCTGAAGAATATTGATAGAATAACATTGTGAGTTTTAAATAAAGTAAAGATGCAGGTTTTATTTTATTTAGTTTTATTATTATTATTATTATTTCTTTTGAACTATTTTTCTATCACTGTTGAATAATCTTCAAATGCAGGTTTTATTTTTATTATATTCATTTTAATTTATAGCAGTAAATAAATATATAAAAAAGTTTTTATTTTCTTCTTTATCAATTTCAGCTTTGTTCTCTTAAATATTTATTTATATATTTATTTTAAATAGATGCCAACACTGACTTCAGGCCTCATTCAGAAGAATTTTGTTGAAGAAAGCAAAGGTGCTACAGAAGTTATTGAGGCTGATTCAGGTATCACACCTTTCCTGTCATTTTTATGATCAGCGATCATTTTTTTTTTATATTGTGTATCTGCACATTTCTTTAAAAGTACATATTTTGTGTGTCCCAGACCCAAGGATCCTGTGCGAGCCAACCCGAGAGGTTGAGGAGGAGCACGGTTTGGACTATCAGCATTTGACCTTTTTCCCTGTCCTTAATGAGGCCACACCTCTCCCCGAGGATTTCTCAGAGCAGTGCATGGATACTCAACTCATACTGAAGGAACTGGAACCCACTGAAGAGGTGAGAGTGATCCATATTCACCTGGAGCCACATTTCTTTGGTACAGAAAACACATTCTCGTGTGGACAGCTGTAGTGTGTGTGTGTGCTGAGCCTGACAGTGCTCTTCAGCATTAATAGGGCCGAGAGTGGCTGACAGAAGTATTAATAAGGAACAGTAGGGGGTGATGTCTGCTGTCTTGTATTCATTCAGTAGGTGGTGTGTCCTGCTGTGCTGCGTGTCAGCCGAATTGCCCTATCCATACTTATTAATACAGAAATGCACACACTTAACGCGGCCTACGCTTCAGTTCCAGAGGCAATGTGATAACTGTAATTTACAGCCACCATGTCTTCAGAGGCTTAGCTTTTCATTATCGCTCAAACAGGAAATAACTTCAAAGATGCAGTATTACGTGCTGTTAATTATTGCTTTTGTATAGACTTGAGGTGTGCTAGTTAGTGCACATGCTGTGGCACATTTAGCTGTGGTGCACATGTGGGAAATGTGAGTTCGAATATAATTTCCCAATCCTCCTCCTACCCAGAATTTCTTGTACTACCTCAAATATTCCTATCAATAAAGGTACCAAAAGGCCAAATTTAAAATAGAAAATGACTATTTATTATTATTATTATTATTAGCAACAACAACAACAACAATAATAATAAAAGCAAAATAATAATAATAATGTAATTATTATTATTATTATTATTATCAGGACTTTATTGTTATGATTTTATTATTATTACTTTATCATTATGATTTTATTATTACTTTATCATTATTATTTTTGCCTTTCTTTTGATGACTTTAATGTTATGACTTTATTATTATTATTATTTTGCCTTTATGATGATGATGATTATTATTATGCCTTTATTGTTATGCCTTTATTATTATTATTATTATTATTACATAGATCCCTCAGTGCTTACCAATCACAAAATATCTGTGTGGTTGGGCAGTTGAAGGGTTGAAAAAAGTACATTTGTTTATAAATATCCACATTTTAAACCCTTTTTTCTTTAGAGTACCATTTCTATGAAGAAATGCATTTAAATATTTGCTCGGTTTATATCTAAATCTATGTTGTTATGATGATGACTTCTGAAACTGGTTTCCTTCAAAAAAAAATAATAAATGCCTATAGATTCTTTAATTGGCTGCCTTTGGTTTCAGTCATGGCTGCAGTTTGTGACAGAAATGATGAGTGTTGCATTTATAATATTTTTCTGAAGAAAACTATCACAGAGCACTCTTAAAAGCATCCTCTAGCAAGGTGTAATTTGTCGTTGTTGTAAATCCCAAAGACAGGACAGAATTAGGACTGACTCAGGTCAAGGCTGATTCTGTTTTATAGTTCTGTTTGAAACCAAAACCCCACCAGGTGGACCATATATTTAAACAGGGCCTTAATCAATTAGCGTGTTGCTATTGTTGCTGTGTCATTGATTAATTCTGGTAATAAACAGTGGGGCCCTCTCTCTGCGCCAGTGAGGGGGCGCTTGCATGGAGAGGAAGCTCTGATTTGATTTGTATTAATTGTGGAGCGGCTGGCAGTACGGCTGGACCCCATATGTTTTGGGGACGCAGATCCCCGGAGCCCAGAGTTGTGGTAACTCAGGGCTGAGGCCAGGTGCAGCTGCTTGGTGTGAAATGAAGGGAGACAATACAATTAGCCGTGCATAATCGAGAGGTTTCGTGTGAACTCCGCCTGCGGAAGATTGGCCCCGTTTCACAAACACCCCAGCCATTCAGCATCTTGCCTTTTTCTCCTTTTAATTTTTGTCTCTCCACCGTGTTGTTTAGATAAAGAAGTGGTAACCGTGATCAATCAAGACCGGGGTGGCGCTTCTTTGACACGTTAGCCCCAGGGCACATTTCAGAAGGCAGGCTGCAGTGACACTTCGTACAACTGTTGAAAGCTTCGCTTGACATTGTGTTTACTCATTCATTGAATTTGGCAGCATGTAAAACAAATTACAGCTTTATTTTAAACAGTTCAATGCACAACACAGATTCCTATATGAGCTACTTGATACACATGCTGTAATGTGTCCATACCTCAGGTCAAAGCGAAACACTGTGTGGTGGTCGTCAGTGGTCACGTGCTGACCGAAGGAGTGCTGTTGTTTGGCAAAGCTGACCTCTACATATGTGAGGGCTTCACGTTGACCTCCACAGGAGATGTGTGCTGTAGAATCCATCATCAGACTAAGTAAAGCTATACTGTTTTCTCTCAGCATAACTCTCTACTCTACTTATACACTACTGTTCAAAAGTTTGGGGTTGGTAAGATTTTTTTTTTGAAAGAGGTCTCTTGTTCTCACTGAGGCTGCATTTATTTGACCAAAAATACAGTAAAAAATAATGTGAAATATTTTTATAATTAAAAAAATATTATTTTAATGCATTATAAAAGGAATTCTTTTTTCTGTGATTGGAAAGCTGAATTTTCAGCAGCCATTACTGAAGTCTTCTGTGAAACTTGATTCTGCAGAAATTATTCTGATATGCTGATTTGGTGCTCAAGAAATATTTATTAATAAGACAGTTGCTGCTTGATATTTTTTGTGGAAACGTTTATATATTTTATAGGTGTCTTTTGTGAACAGAAAGTTCAAAACAACAGTATTGGTTTGAAATGGAAATATTTTTACCTTTTTTAAAGATTTATTGATCTTTACTGTCACTTTTGATAAATTTAGTACATCCTTGCTCAATAAAATTATTAAATTCTTTAAAAAAAAAATCTTAATGAGAAACTTTTAAACGGTAGTGTATCTTTATTTTTATAACACTTTTAAAATATTTTACTTTTTAAAACATTTAAAATATCGCTTTTTTTACTTTAAAGTTGGAAATAAGGTTTTGGAATTTTTTAATATTTAATTATATCATTATAAAATTATATCATTTACAATGAGTGTTTTTTGTATTAAGTAGCAAAAATGCAAAATAAGAATTATATAATCTTTGTGTATATAATTATGTGATAATTAGTTATATTATTATTAAAACACAGTAAAGTTAACTTTAGGTTTACTGAGAACAGCTTTCTTTATTTTTATGTATAGATTTAACAGTATCTTACATTTTCTGTACTTATTGTAGTGTGAGAGACTCATATGTTTGCAACATGATGAATAAAGAGAAAAGCTCAGTGAGCCCAAGCTGCAAACGTTGGTCATATGATGACATCAAAGAGGCCAATTTCATGCGCTTTCTGCTTGAGGTGAGATTCACAGAGCCCATAGTCATTCAAATTTTTAACTTTATTTATTCTATATGTATTTCTTTATTTATTTTCTTTATTATTATTTTTTATCATGTTTGATAGTTTAATTGTGTTTTTTGGTTTTAATTCTCGATGACACTATAGGACAATGCTCTGGAAATTTTCTTAAAGAACGGAACTTCAGTCTTCCTGGTGTTCTTCAACAATGACCATGTCAATGCACATAAAAGGTAAAACGAGAAAGTGCTTGTGATTCAGGCAGGTAAACAACTGTGTGTGAGGTGACTAAATTGATTTATCTCAATTTTTTTTTTCTTTCTAGGCTGTGCTCTGTGGTCTCCTCATTAAAGGGAAGGGGAGAGACTGTACTTAATGTGAGGTGAGTGTCAAAAGCATCTGCCAGATCTCGCTGCCATTTCAGTTGGAGAGACTGTGGTGCTTTTATACTGAAACAAACAGAGTTTTTGTGGTTTCAAAGTTTCCAGAAAACACATTCTCTTATGTGTGCGGTTAACGATTGACTGGAAGACTCTCAATCCCCTAAACAATATCCCGGCATTACACTGAAACTACAATTACTGCATCTTCAGCACTTCCTACCAATTAAAAGAGCCTCAGTAACTTTTCAAAGTCATCAGCAGCAAATTCAACTCACAATTTTATAGTTGTTAATTGTCTGCAAGGATGCCATAAGCTTACTACCTTTTAGTTATTTCAGATGTTGTTTTGGTTCAAATGATCATTCCTTGACTCACCATTTCAATTTCTGCTCAATTTAGTTTTATCATGTTTAGTTCCCCTGACATTTTGACATGAAGTGGGAATGGACTTAATGTTTATTGTTTCCCATCGGCTTTAAAGCCAAAGTTGTTTTCTTACAATAAGAAATACACATTAATTTCATGCATATATAGAGAGATAAAGATATTGTGAAAAAGTGTTGCATTTTTGGGCTGGCCAGTAAAAACATGTATTTTAGTGTCAGATAATGTATGTGCGTATTTAAATATTCATTACTGATGGGCAAATTCGTGTTTGTATATCAATGTACATTACATTTTAATTCTATTTAAAATGTTTTATTTGGGAGGCAAAATGAAACAGTTAGTTGTACTTTAACTTCATAATTGTAAGCCTTTGTTTAAGATAACTTTGTTGTAGTTTTGTTTGACACACATTTTCATTTTTTTTCCCAACGAAAATGAGCTTGAGATCCAACAATATTTGGTGGACCCCCTGCAAAACCTATTTATTTCCTAAAAGTACAGGAGGAGTTTTAATTGTTGAGTCATTATGCATAAAGGTTATTCATAAAAGACAATGTGTTGGTATCTCCGGCAGGTCTGGCTTGTCCTTTTTGAAAACTTGGAGGTGAGGTAGTAGTCTGCTGCCGCCAATTTTCTTGATTACCTCGAGCTACAGAGTTTGGCGAGATCAGCCCTGAAAAATTACTCTTTCTTTGCGACCTGTCAAGCAGCTTTTTCCTTCTGCACTTCTCTAGGCAGGGATGGCACAAATCGCCCTCTCTCACCAAAAACAGATTTCCTGTTGGCTTTACAGAGTCAGAGTCTTTGCCGTCTCGCTGTGTATAGGAAACAGGGTTGCGTTTGGTGTTCAGCTTCATCAGGTTGGGCAACACGTTTATGCATTCTGGTATCTGTGTGAACAAGTTATCAAAAACTCCCAGCTCTGTCAGGTTTGTCAAGGTGGCCAAAGTGGGAGGGAGGGCGTTTAGACGATTCATGCCCAAGTTGAGAACCTGGAGGTTTCTCAGACTTCCTATTTCAGGCGATAAACCATCAGAATCCAGGTTGTTGTTACAGAGGTTGAGGTAGACCAGAGATCCCAGGAGTCCAATGCTTTCGGGCAGTTGTTCGATTTGGTTGCTGTGAAGGTCTAACCAACGCAGTCCAGAGAGCTGGCCAATGAATTCTGGGATTATTTTCAATTTGTTCCGGCTCAGGTCAATTTCCTCTATGTTTCTTAACTTTAGGAGGCATTTGGGAAATGTGGCGATGCCTACATTGCTCAGATCAAGTCGTAGTTTGCCATCTGGAGTTACTCTAAGAGCATTTTTAGCCATTTTCAATGTGATCTTCGTACCTTTGGCTCCACCTGCTCTCTTTCCTTTAGCCATGGAGCTGTATAGACACAGATTAATGGTTAAGCGCTTCTGAAGTATCAATTTGATTAAGTCTTAACTCAAGTCATGTAATTATTATCTCAGGACCTCGTAGCTTTAAACATGTATGAATTAATGATGGGACAGTTTAGTTGTTTGCATAGGGAAGGTGGAATCATGTATGCCTGCAGGCAGTATCGGGGGCGCTGAGGTGTCGGGCCGTTTGGGGAATGAGAGGGGTGTAATGTTTACACCCAACTCATTCACCCAACTCACCCTAAAGGGATCTTTTGGGATAATGTCGTTCTCTAATTATGGCTAATACCAGATAACAGTGGGTACGGCGAGCGCCCAACACATATTCTGGGAAAAGCTGTTTGTGTTCCGTCTGATTGATCCAGGGTGGCGCTAGCAGTCCATGTGACTGTGTGGAGAGAGTCAAATCAGTACTTTGATAAATGACACTGGAAAGAAATTTTAAATCGCTCCCTTCATATCTTCCCATTAAAAAGGAGGAGTGGCTGCATTGTAAGCCCTTTGGCGACTCATTAATCACATTGGTGGATGGGCTAATATGGTTCATCCTGTTTCTATTAGACCTTTTGTTTTTTAAATCCGTTGCATCTGAGAGGTGCAATTACAGAGAGGTACTTTAACTTCATAATTTTAAGCCTTTGTTTAAGATAACTTTGTTGTAGTTTTGTTTGACACACATTTTCATTTTTTTTCCCAACGAAAATGAGCTTGAGATCCAACAATATTTGGTGGACCCCCTGCAAAACCTATTTATTTCCTAAAAGTACAGGAGGAGTTTTAATTGTTGAGTCATTATGTAGAATGTCATTATGCATAAAGGTTATTCATAAAAGACAATGTGTTGGTATCTCCGGCAGGTCTGGCTTGTCCTTTTTGAAAACTTGGAGGTGAGGTAGTAGTCTGCTGCCGCCAATTTTCTTGATTACCTCGAGCTACAGAGTTTGGCGAGATCAGCCCTGAAAAATTACTCTTTCTTTGCGACCTGTCAAGCAGCTTTTTCCTTCTGCACTTCTCTAGGCAGGGATGGCACAAATCGCCCTCTCTCACCAAAAACAGATTTCCTGTTGGCTTTACAGAGTCAGAGTCTTTGCCGTCTCGCTGTGTATAGGAAACAGGGTTGCGTTTGGTGTTCAGCTTCATCAGGTTGGGCAACACGTTTATGCATTCTGGTATCTGTGTGAACAAGTTATCAAAAACTCCCAGCTCTGTCAGGTTTGTCAAGGTGGCCAAAGTGGGAGGGAGGGCGTTTAGACGATTCATGCCCAAGTTGAGAACCTGGAGGTTTCTCAGACTTCCTATTTCAGGCGATAAACCATCAGAATCCAGGTTGTTGTTACAGAGGTTGAGGTAGACCAGAGATCCCAGGAGTCCAATGCTTTCGGGCAGTTGTTCGATTTGGTTGCTGTGAAGGTCTAACCAACGCAGTCCAGAGAGCTGGCCAATGAATTCTGGGATTATTTTCAATTTGTTCCGGCTCAGGTCAATTTCCTCTATGTTTCTTAACTTTAGGAGGCATTTGGGAAATGTGGCGATGCCTACATTGCTCAGATCAAGTCGTAGTTTGCCATCTGGAGTTACTCTAAGAGCATTTTTAGCCATTTTCAATGTGATCTTCGTACCTTTGGCTCCACCTGCTCTCTTTCCTTTAGCCATGGAGCTGTATAGACACAGATTAATGGTTAAGCGCTTCTGAAGTATCAATTTGATTAAGTCTTAACTCAAGTCATGTAATTATTATCTCAGGACCTCATAGCTTTAAACATGTATGAATTAATGATGGGACAGTTTAGTTGTTTGCATAGGGAAGGTGGAATCATGTATGCCTGCAGGCAGTATCGGGGGCGCTGAGGTGTCGGGCCGTTTGGGGAATGAGAGGGGTGTAATGTTTACACCCAACTCATTCACCCAACTTACCCTAAAGGGATCTTTTGGGATAATGTCGTTCTCTAATTATGGCTAATACCAGATAACAGTGGGTACGGCGAGTGCCCAACACATATTCTGGGAAAAGCTGTTTGTGTTCCGTCTGATTGATCCAGGGTGGCGCTAGCAGTCCATGTGACTGTGTGGAGAGAGTCAAATCAGTACTTTGATAAATGACACTGGAAAGAAATTTTAAATCGCTCTCTTCATATCTTCCCATTAAAAAGGAGGAGTGGCTGCATTGTAAGCCCTTTGGCGACTCATTAATCACATTGGTGGATGGGCTAATATGGTTCATCCTGTTTCTATTAGACCTTTTGTTTTTTAAATCCGTTGCATCTGAGAGGTGCAATTACAGAGAGCTGACCATCGGCGTGATCCATCTTCATGTTCTTTGTGATTAGCTGATTCTGAACCTCTCCAAACGGAGAGAAAATTGGATGGTATTGCTATTTTCGTGACATATGAAATATAATAGATTCTGTGACTACATGGTTTAAGACCATTAACCATTTGTTACCAAAATATACTTTCTAACTTATGAATATGCTTTTGAAAATCTCTTAAACAACTGAATAGTGAGTCTTAAAAAATGTAAATAAAATAAAAATTATTTTGAATGTTGAACCAATAATACAACAACACATACATAGAACTAAAACAGATAAGAGTTCATAGTCAGACCAGTTCTCTTAATTTGTCATTTTTGTTGTTTTTAAAATATGATCCAAATGGCTAGTTTGAAATATATTTTTTTTCTAGTAATAGAAAAATTCATAAATATTGTGATAGATGATTACGCCACTATTTGTACCTGTATTCACCCTACTAAATCAGTCAGCAAGCACATTTTTAAGAATATTTATATCTTGAAACGTTTTATTGTTAGTGTGAATTTTATTAAAAAAAAAATGTGCCTGTGCTTAAACAAGCTTCACGACAACTTCAGAAAGGCTAAAAGGATTACAGGTAAAAGGATCATGCAAGAGTGTGTAAAAACCATCAGTTTGCCCCAACCAGCTATTGTTACCCAGAATTAATTTCATCCCCTTTCTGGTATGAAGGAAGTCTTAAATACGTTTTTCTTACTTACAGTTTTTAAATGAGGTCCACAGCTGAATTGCTTGAGAATCAGAGGAGGATCTTCAGACTGTTGTCCAAAAAGAAGCTTTGTCCTGTTTAACTTTTGTTACCAAGCAACGCTTGCTCGGGGTGCCAAAAGTTTTATTGTCCTGTGATGGAGCTTGCACAAAAGAAAGGGGAGAAAGAATTGTTGCAGCGTTTGTGTTTGTACACTCCCTCAGATTAAATTTCCAGAATGTTCTTTAAAGTCCAGGATGTTAATAGTTTCACCCAATAGCCACAATTGAACTTTGCATTTTCTTCTCTCTCATCTCTTTCTTTTCATTTATAAATGGGAATAAGTAGTGATAAATATTTCAAAGCAAACCAGTTTTAATAGTTATGGAAATCTGAACATCCCTATGCATGCATGTCAAATCAGCTGTGATTTTGCATGTTTAGATAGCTTGTTGTAGGAACCACACTTGTAATCTTGTAATTCAGTAATGTGTGTGAAGGAGAAAACTAACTTCCAAGGTAATATGTTACTGTGCGTTTATAGATATTTTCCAAAACCTATAGATGGCGCTATACTACTTTAAAGGAGGGAACGGCATGGCTGAATAAAATCTTAACCCTTTTTTCCACAAGAATGTATGTTTCTTTTGGCTCTTGTGTCTGATGAAAGACGGACCCTCCGTGGTTTAAATCCATAAGCTCTTTCTATTCCTTAACCTGTTGCTATGCAACCATAGTAGACTTGGTTCTGATGACTAGTTCAGAATTCACCGTATTCAAGGCACTTGATTCTGTAACTGTTAAGAAGTAAACAATAGCAATAGGTTCTTGTAAAATAAGAAAAATATCACAAAATGTTTCACAATAAAATCGGAATAAAATGTTTCTTCAATTATTCTTTTGTTGCGTTCATACAGAAAGGCTGCAGCAGTTGAGAAGACTGCCCTAATTAAATGGCAGGTAATGTGTGAGCATCTACTACTTGCACCATCATTAACCATTATTATTTGTAATATACATCCTGCATTTGCAGTAAATGGATTGAATGCCATAATATAAATATAAGCTCTTTGAAAAGTTATTTTACATGAACCCAAATGCATTTTTTTTTTTTTTTTTTGTTGATAATACTATCTTTTTCCATAGAGAGGAGAAGTTAGTAACTTTGAATACCTTATGCATCTAAACACACTTGCTGGACGGACATACAATGACTTGATGCAATATCCTGTTTTTCCATGGATCATTGCTGATTATGAATCAGAGGTAAAACTAATATGCACCCAAACTTTACAATTTTGACCTGAACTTTTTTTTTTTTAATGCTAAAATGTTTTGTTTGTTTGATGATCTTATTCACCGCTTGTTAGATTCTGGATCTGTCCCACCCTGCTACATTCAGAGATCTGTCCAAACCAATGGGAGCTCAAAATGAGAAGAGAAAAGAGAAGTTCATTCAGAGATACAATGAGGTGGAAAGCAATGATGGTAAAGCATATTTGTATATGCACCTGTTTTATATGCATCTATTCTGTAACTGAGAGACCTAAAAACCTATTGCTCATACAGCTGAAGTTCATGGAGTTTGTCAGTTTCACCTGCAAACATGGAGGCTCTGGGTGTTTTTTATGTTTTCTTTCCCAAAAATGAACAAAATATCTGATTCAGTTAGCCAAGAGGAACTTTAAAACATAAAGGCAGAATCAGGGCTGTTATTTGAAAAATAAATAAATGGGGACCTGCAGGGCTGAATAAAAAAAAAATAAATGCTTTCATTTACTTAGTGAATGTCATGATTGCAGGTGATCTGTCAGCTCAGTGTCATTACTGCACACACTATTCCTCAGCCATCATAGTGGCCTCGTACCTGGTGAGGATGGAGCCTTTCTCCCAGACCTTTCTCCACCTGCAGGTAAACTTCTCACCTGTTTGACCAGGCTCAATTACATCACACAGAAACTCCAATAAATAATTTGTATTGGCCTCTTTTTTTTATCAAATGAAGCACAAAACACGTCAGCGTGACAGAACTTCTATAAAATTCAATTTTTCTAAATTGAACTTACAGGATGAAATGAGCTTTATTGTTTTTGGGCTTGTGTGCGCTTTTAATTTTTTCTTTCTGAAACCGAATTAGGGTATGATTTTAATATGTATGCAAATAAATTATTTTGCGTCACTTGCGTGCAAAACCACATTTTGTTTTTAAAGAATATCTCATTTATACACATGGAACCAATTGATTAAAATAAATTGTCATGCATATTTGATAGCCGGTGTAACGTAATACAAACATTAGGATAACACTTTGCAATGATATTTGCTTCACTTGAGCAGCTTTCCTCCGTACAGTAATATTCATAATCAGATTTGTGCCACTAACAGTATATTACTTTCATTCAATGAGGGCATTTGCTTTTACTGCAAATTACATAACTTCTCCAGAGATTTTCGTCAGGACGTATAAACTCCCTTGAAAAATAAAAAGCCTGAATCAATTGCTTGAAAATGTCTCCAATCAAGGCAATTGTTTCTTGACTATGATTCATATACACACATGGGGCTGTTTTAGTGTTCTAGGCAGTCTTGCTGGCGGTGGAGCTCCCAACCTTACGTGTTAAACAAACATGCATGTCTTTTTTCATCCTTTGTAAAACATTTTTTTTACTTCTTTGCTGTTTCTTTGCTCTGAATTGTGTTTCTATAGTCCTTTTCATAATGCCACTTTGCTTTCAAATAACATTAGGAAATGCACCCTTCCCAGAGAATCTTTTTTTTTTTTTCATAGGGCGGAATGTTTGACGTTCCAGAGCGGATGTTTCACAGCATTCAGAACGAGTGGGAATCTGCATCTAAGGACAACATGAGTGATGTCAGAGAGCTCATTCCAGAATTTTTCTACCTTCCAGACTTTCTTGTCAACTCCAACCAATTTGACTTTGGTAATTTATTAGTATTAGCTCAACAATTGAATGTAATTGTAGTCTCCCCCCCTTGTGTTATAGAAGCTCGTTTTTAATGTTTTATTTGTAAATAGTCCGTTTCATTAGTCTGTAAATGTGTGTATGGATAATACAGGTTGCATGCAGGATGGAACACCATTAGATGATGTGGTTTTGCCACCATGGGCCAAAGGAGACCCACAGGAGTTCATCAGAGTGCACAGAGAGGTCAGTTTCTCTGGTCAAGGCAGTCCATCAAACTAAAAATAGGCCATGTTGTGGACCACCAGCATCACAATATCCAATTCTGCTATAGATGCTACTTTACTTACTCTTAGACTATATTCTGAAAGGCAACGAGGGTCAGTGCAATCAGAGCACATACTAAGTTTTATGACAGCAAGCATAGGGTTAAAACAATATCAGTCTTGCTGCACCATTCATATCCAGCTAAACTTGGCGATAGTTAAATAATTTTTGCACCTGCTTTATTTTTTTTTTTGCCTTACTTGAGATAATAAGCACTTGTTGAGTTCATCAAGGAAGCCCCATTACTCAGTTTAACACCATTGTAATTAGAAGATAACAGGCCCAATTCAGCGCAAGTACAATATCTGCACTCTCCTATAACTCCATTAATGAAGCCTGCTGGTTATTGGAATGAATGCTTTCTTTCTCGCTACGTTACGCCTGCAGGCATATAAGGGCCAGGCTTTATCAGTTCCAAATCTACAGAGCAATATTTGTATCATTTCGTGAAAGGCAACGAGGGTCCGTGCAATCAGAGCACATACTAAGTTTTATGACAGCAAGCATAGGGTTAAAACAATATCAGTCTTGCTGCACCATTCATATCCAGCTAAACTTGGCGATAGTTAAATAATTTTTGCACCTGCTTTATTTTTTTTTGCCTTACTTGAGATAATAAGCACTTGTTGAGTTCATCAAGGAAGCCCCATTACTCAGTTTAACACCATTGTAATTAGAAGATAACAGGCCCAATTCAGCGCAAGTACAATATCTGCACTCTCCTATAACTCCATTAATGAAGCCTGCTGGTTATTGGAATGAATGCTTTCTTTCTCGCTACGTTACGCCTGCAGGCATATAAGGGCCAGGCTTTATCAGTTCCAAATCTACAGAGCAATATTTGTATCATTTCCAGATGGCATAAAATGAGCTATTCTGTCTGCTCGCCTTCCTTCATATGCAAATGAAGGGTAATATAGGGATCTTCCACAATTTAGTGCTTGTGACTTAGAGCTGCTTTGATTATACTTGTTATTTTAAATGTTTTTTGTTTTGTTTTTGCTTTTGTATATATGTTTATGTTGTGTTTGAACACTTCAGCCAATTCTAAAATACTTTAGATTAAAAAAATATATATAGGAAAAATGACTTAGCAACACGAAATAGGAATACAGACTTTTGGAATATCATTTTTATATCAGATTGCTTGAACTGTAATCAGTCGCCAAGATGGAATAATGCCTTTTTAAAATGCATTATTGTGCAATCTCTTTGACCTGATATTTGGAAGCACAGCTTTTCCGCCTGTACTTCTACAGAAATAAAAGTTACGGCATTACTGATAGCGTATTAGTCCCCATCCAGATCTGCTGACTGACTGAGTTTGCGCTCTCTGCAGGCTCTTGAGAGTGATTACGTGAGTGCACGCCTGCATCTTTGGATTGATCTGATCTTCGGATACAAACAGCAGGGTCCGCCCACAGTAGAGGCCCTCAACACCTTTCACCCATATTTCTATACTGACAAACACGACAGAGCGAGCATGAAGGATCCTGTCGTGAAAAGCACTGTCCTTGGCTACATCAGCAACTTTGGCCAAATGCCTAAGCAGGTACACCAGTTGAGCACACTTTTTAAAGAATATTAGGAGATCCTCTATGCCTCTATTCAATTTTTTTTTAGTAAATGTTTTTGGCTGTGCATACAGAATGCAATTGTAAAGCACTTTTGACAACCAGATATACTAGGGATGCATCCATATTACAATTCTGGCTGATACTGATAAGCCAATAATAATTTTTATGTTATGGCTGATAATGGAAAAATTTGGTGAATATTAAAATTCTTTATTATTTTGTCAAAAAAAAATAAATAAAAAATAAAATAAAAAAAGTCAGTTGTCTTAAGTGCTAAAAGTAAGTTTAGGCATCACACCATTATTTGAAAATGGATATATCATGCATGCCTAATATATGCAGCATTTCCAATGTTTGGTAAGGTTCTTTCCGGTAATGAAATGATTTATTGTGATACTGTATTCTATTTTAAATGCAATACTAAAATAAGTTTTATGCTTCCAGCTCTTCACAAAACCACACCCTAGCCGCACACCTCACAAGGGTGCTGCTGGGAAAGAGACATCGGTATCCAGTCAGATAACCCCCTTTTTCTTTAAACTGGACAAGCTCAAGCCTTCTGCCCAGGCTGTTAAAGGTACTGCTTAAAATGAACATTTGCAGCTCTGAGGTAGAGACCCCCCTGCCCCCATTTAATCCTTCATAGTCACCTTGTTATTTTATTCCATTCCTCAATTATTTTTTACAAGATGGGGCCACGTCTACAGGGAGCAATAGGAGCCGTGAGGAAGAAGATGCTGGCTAGCCTTTTCACAGGCTCATTTTCTCAGTCATAGCTCAGCTCGGCTCCATTCAGCTATTTGTTAGGCCACTCTTGAAGATACAGCCACTGAGGCTTATTTAATAATCTGAATGGCCAAAAAAGGATCTCTCTGGAAAATTAGATGATTCTCTCTCGCTCTATTGTCTCTCACTCAATATCTTGTTCTCACATCAGGAGTTACTTTATCATTCTGATCAGTAAATCCTACAAGGAAAGATTTAAAGGGCATCTTGAGAGAAATTTGCGATCAACTCAGGCTTCATTATGATTTGTGTTACTGTTTTACTGTCAGTGAGCAGGGAGATTGACTGTGTCCTCGCATATGTAGGTCATTTGAAAGTAGAATACTCCTTTTTTATGCTTAGTCCTGACACAGTTGTTTCAACAAATGTTTCATATTGTAAAAATGATCAGTTAAAATTACTTAAATGCTTGGTTCAAAAGGTCTTGATAGATTGATAAAATAACAGTGTAAAAAGACAAAAAGCATGGCCATTTCAACATCGTTTTTGTTAAATATGTAATATAGAGTATAACCGTATATAAATAGTGAGTTGCAAAAAGTCTAAGACCATTAATATTTTTTTAAATTATGTAATACCGGTAGTATTAATTATTATTATTTTTTGTTTTTTTTTTGTTTTACATTTTAATAGCAAGTTCAACATGTTTAAATAGACATTTACCAATTACAAGTTTGGAGTCATTAGTATTAGATTATTTTTTGAAAGAAATGTATCCTTTTATTCAGCAAGTCTACATTAATTTGATCAAAAACATTTACTATATATATATAGAGAGAGAGAGAGAGAGAGAGAGAGAGAGCATGTCACACTGCATAAACCTGCTTTTCTGTTGTTTCTCTACAAAGAGCTCACGCTGGGTCCTGTTGGTCAAATAGTGTGTAGAGAGAAAGATGTATTGGTCGTGGAAAAAAACAAACTTCTCATCCCACCACATTGGAACACATATTTCAGCTGGGGCTCTTATGACCAGACCTGCTCTTTTGGGAGCTACACAGCTGAAAAGGTTTGCTTTCATAGTAGATCCATAAATAAGTTAACATGATGGGCCTGCTTGTAATGTTCATTCATTGATTCATTTTTCATTTGATGTTTTCCTATTGTGAAGAACAGAATAATTGTTTATTATTAAACAAGGTTACTTCTGGTTGGCTGTTAAAGTTTGATAGCTTTATTACCTGTGTTTCAGAACTTTGCAGTGTGTGAGAGCCTGTCGGACTGGGGATATCCTGTATGTGCTGCCTGTCCCAACAACAGCACCATCATCACGGCCGGGACCAGTACTGTAGTCTGTGTGTGGGATGTCTCCATCAGCAAGGACAAACTTAAACACATGAGACTCAGACAGGTCAGATTCACATGTGTTATCATTCCTAAAGAGCCATGTTCATGCTTAGGTGTCACAAAGCCGTTTTGAAATTTTAAGATTCAAAACTGTGGGTTTGTCTCATTTTTTAATAAATAAATAAATGTTTTTATTTTCCATCCTAGACCTTGTATGGACACACAGACACAGTGACGTGTCTGGTAGCATCAGAAGCACATAGCATGATTATTAGCGGATCTTTGGACCAGACCTGCATCCTGTGGGACCTGGAGGACCTCAGCTACATCACACAGTTACCAGAACATTCCTCTGCCGTGTCTGCCCTGGCTATTAATGACCTGACCGTGAGTACCCTCCAGAAAAAA